AGACCTGCCTGCCACCTCTCCCCGCCACTCATCTCCGGCAGAAGCAAGTAAACAGCGCTCTGTGGGCAGCCTCAAAAAAGAAAAATATATAAAACGTAAAAGAAAAGGGAAAACCTTTGTAATGGGCGCATCTTTTGGACATGCTGCGCTTTTCACTCACTGCGGCTGCTTCTGCTGCTGCTGTTGCTGGTGCCGTGTATTGCTGTTGTGTGTTGCTGCTGAACTATCTCAATTGGGTCATCAGCCAAGGCAAATGTTTGCTTTCCTTCGATCGCACTTGCACTTTTCAATTTCGTAATTGAAGCGGCAATTGAAGAAGAAGACGAGTAGGAAGAGGAAGCAGAAGATGAAGAAAATGAAAAAGAAGAAAATCATCCACAAGCAACAACAGCAGCAACAGTTGCCGAAGCGTGGGCGTTAAGCAATCAGCGCATGACGCGACCTACTGCAACTTGCACAGCTGCTTCTGCCTCTGAATCTGCCTCCGCCTCTGCTTCCACCTCTGCCCTCTCCCCATTCGTACCCTAACTTTTCTGTAAGTAGTCCCCTTCTGTCTAAAGTATCTAATTAGCCTGTGTTGTTGTTGAGGGGCTATCGAGTTCAAGTGCTGCGCCCAAAACGAGCAACCAAATTTCACAGAAAATCTGGGGGACAGTGGCCAAAAACATGCTAATTGCGGAGAGTTGGCAGACAGCAGCTCCCCCTCCCTCCCCCTTCCCACCATTCAAGCAATTAGGCTGCATTTCTCCTCTTATTATTGCTCATACTGCTGTCGTTGTTGCATTTGTTGTGTGCGTTTAAAATGAAATTAAGCAGCATAGGCAAATTGTTGTCTCCATGGAATGCGGACTGTATTCAGACTACTTGCTACAAGTTCCAACTCTTTTGACTGAACGTAGAAAGCGCCCTGCAACCAGCAATCAGCTGAATATAAATGGCGGGAGGGGAGGAGCTTGCGAAAGGAGTCGAGTCGAGATGCTCCAGCTAAGATTTAATTCAACCGAACTAGTTCCTTAGTTCAGTTCTAACAAATCTCTTTTCTGTGAGAGCTTTTGATGCACTTAAGCTTACCTTACTTTTCATTTTTACTTTAATTACATGCTTAGAACAGTTTCCGTATCTAATTCTTCCTAGTCGAGATTCTTCGCTGAATTTTATTTTTTGGAATTACTTTCTTAAGTTATGTAATTAATTACATAATGCGCGATAAATAAAATCTCACTCTCGCTCTCTCTCTATTACTTCCAGCATGAATAAGACTTTACAGTTACTCAGGTAGTTAAAGTTGCCAAAAATTAATTGCACACACAAACACACACAAGTTCATTGAACTAGTTCCACTATTAAGATTAATTGACTGATCAGCGTCCAATCAATTCACATGCAATTATCATTTCACCTGCGTTCGCAAAAAATAACAGAACGGCAAAAACAACCAAAAATAATACACTCCTCCCCTCCCCCCCCACCCCCTCATACCTTGAGGCACGTTGTTTTGGCCTTGCTGACCCGACTGGACGGCACGGCTTTCGCTTTTTGTTTGCTTGTGCCTCGATGAATGCTTTTTATTTCTCTCTCGCTGTCGCTCTCTCTCTCTCTCTCTCTCTCTCTCTCTCTCTCTCTCTCTCTCTCTCTGTGTATCCCTCAGAGCTCTGGTCAATTTCGACAATAGGCGTTGATAGCCAATTTGTTACAACAAAAACAATAACAACTCTTTTTCTTGTAACTCATTAATATTATTATTATTATGAATATTATTTGATGTGCATGTACAATGAATATTCCAAACTTGTTCAAGTTGCTGGCTTCTTTTGTTTGCTCTTTCTACAAATTGCTCGCGTTGTCACTTGGATACTCACATAAGTATATATATATATATATGTATGTGTGTGTGTGTGTGTGCATATAACTATATAGATATATGCGGGGTATCACTTTCACTGAGTTGGCGCACGTAGAAAGCCAAATGAAAGCAAAGCAAACCAAACAAAAAGCTCACAACAAAACGTTGCATGTTGTTGCAAGTAAAAAAAAACAAAAACAACAACAACAGCACCACTTGCTCATACCCTACATATAGTTTTTTTTACATATATATATATATATATATACTATAGTCAGCTGGGCATAACCCTTAGCAGATCTCGCGACCCGCTCCATGCTTGGCTGACGCCTTGCTCGCAACCTTTTTTCCGTTTTCCTCTCTTTTGGTAACAGCAACAACAAAAACGACTCGGATCTCCCAACTCCCAACTCCGGAGTTGCAGTTTTTGTTGATTTTCTATCTTATTTTTTTCGGGCTCGTTTCAGCGCACAGCGTGGGAGTTACAGCGTCTTAACCATCTACCTCCCCACCTCCGCCAGCCCCACCTTTGGAGCTCGCTCGAACCATTTTGTAACTGAAACCGAAATTGAAAATTTTCATGAACTTGATTTCTTAATTTGTGGCCCAGGCGTTGCAAATGTCTCAGCTATACATACATACATATATACTTGTATATTGTATATTGTATTTTATGTTTTTTTCTTTCTTTCCGTTTAATTTATTTTCTCGTTGTGTGATGAATTTAAATTTGGCTGAACTAATTTGATTAGTGCCGGCGCACCAATTTGTAAGAGACTGCAGCAACATCAACTGGCAACAGCAGCATCAGCCGCAGCAGCAGTAACATGGGGCAGGCAACGGGTAACCGTTATGATGAAATTGCTCGACATTGATTGTATAAGCAGTTGTGCTGTCTTGCCACTTGCAAACTGGCTAACACGCTAGCAATTGTTGCCAGTTGTTGTTGCTGTTGTTGTTGTTGTTGTTGTTGTGAGTTGCCAGTTGGCAGTTGCTGTTGCAGCTGCAGTCTTGGACTTGCTTGGAAAGTTGCATTGGTCAAATGATGCTGCAGTTATTCGAGCATTTATGGCATGACTGAATCTCCTCGAACACTGCCTGCACAGTCTATAAAACAAGCGGTGCCTAATGATCTTCCAACTGTGTACAGCATGAAATGACATACACAACAACAACAACAACAACATCAACAACAACAAATACAAGAGCAACAACAACTGTTCAGAACTGCAATGCATAAGAACTCAAACTCAAACTTGTACTCCGAGGTCTCTAAGGGGAATGAAAATGTTTTGCTTGGAATTTGCTGCCGACACGACAGCAGCAACAGGCGGCAGCAATATCAAACTGACTCACATATGGAGCAAGAGCAACTGCAACAGCAACTGCCACAGCAGCAACATCATGATCTATGGCCAGCGGTCAGCCGTAATTCAAATTCAACTGATGAACAGACGCCTTGGTCGTCGTCATCGTCGTCGTCGTCGTCGTCGTCGTCGTCGTCTCCATCTCATGACATGCAAATGCGCCTGGGAACTAACTAAATTGAAAATGTAATCACTGAATGGCAGCAGCAGCAGCAGCAGCAATAACAATTGCTAGACATTTGATTTTGCATACGATTTGAAGTTTGCGAATCTCACAGAAGCAATCTTATTCATGATACGTTCTGCTGCTGCTGGTTGGGGGGGAAGTGTGGCATGTAATTAAATTAACAACATTTTCAATGTAACTGCAGAAGCAGCGCCCATGAATATAAGGGCTTGAGGTTGCAATTGTATAACTAATATGCAATTAAGATATTATAAATATTTAATTGAAATTTTTTATATAACTATAAACAGCATTTTACATTTTTCGAATTCACACCGAGTACCTCTCAAGTTGTTCAATTCAATTCAATACTCTGTTCTCAAACGGAAGAATAGTCGCAACGACTGCTTCAAATAAGTGATTCTTATTAAATCTTTGATTTCTTTATATGAATTTCATAACTTCGTTTGAAATGTGCTTAAAGTCAGCAAACATTTGATATAAAGTCCGATATTTAAAGCTTGCTAATTTCTGCTCAGTACGGATGAGGAAGCACTATATTGTATGCTTAGAATAGAGTATTGTGCAGTCGAGAACTTTCGTTATTGCAATGGTCGACAGTTTTGCCAATGCTGTTGTTGTTGTAACTTATCTTTCTCACGCTTTGCATTGACAGCAATTGCAGGCAAGCAGCAATAATAACAACAACAAAAATAACAGCAAGCTGAGAATATTTTGCAATGCTGAATACTTGGCATATTTGAGGTGTTTTGTTAACGCCATCAACGAAATGCCCAACACCAACACCAACAAGCAGCAACCAGCAACCTGCAACCACTGACAGCAGGCAACTTAAACTGGAACGGAACTTGCTTAATTGCCCAGTCCAAAGACATTGGCTAGCCAGCCAGTTAGTCAGTTGGCCAGTTAGTTGGCTTGAGAATTTGACAGTTTGTTGGCCGACAAATGTTGACATCGGCGCATTTTCGCATTGGCTGCCCATTAGAGAAGCCCGCAGGATAGGATCTGATCAATAAAATATTTCTATACATATATTGTGTTGGTTAATAATCAACGCCGGTCATTATTTCAGCAAACAGAATTGCGAGCTTTCGGTCTTATTAATTTCGATGAATACTTAAATTAACATTTCTTAGTATTTCACATTTTAGTTCACATAATAAATTGCAATTTGCGAAACTTACAGTAACAATGCATTTCTCTAGATACAATTAAAATGTGATCAAAGTTTTGTTCAGCTTAACTTTAGCTTAGCCCCAAGGCTGATCTTTAGCTAGAACAGTCCGTAGCTAATGTCATCGTATCATGTTGCTAAGTATATATTTAAATCAGAGTTCAGCTTCGAGACACAGCTGTAAGCTGAATTAAGAAATCAATCAAAGAGACTCGTACTATTGCCCAAAGGCAATGTTTATGAAAACAGCCGCTTAAGCAAGCATCTGTTCAGCTATTTGAATATTGAATATTTAATATGCGGCAACCAGATCCCCTACAAAAATGAATATTCAATTTATTTCAAATTTCACCCAAAATATTTCTTTGTTCAACTTAACTAACTCTCTTTTTTTTGCTCTCTCTCTCTCTCACTCTTTCTCTATCGCAGATGGAGCCTGCAGTTTTCCTGGCTCACCTGCGCACAGCAGCGTCGTCTTCTCGAGCGCGAATCTGACGCAAGGAACTGTCGCCTCCTACAGCTGTGAGCGGGGCTTTGAGCTCCTGGGACCCGCCCGGCGTGTCTGCGACAAGGGTCAGTGGGTGCCAGAGGGTATACCGTTTTGTGGTAAGTAATTGGATAAGACAAGATCTAATATAAAGGGAAATCAACTATCACATATCCTGTACCCAAATCTATAAAATCATAAATCTTAAGCTAGCACAGAGCACTGTTGATCTTTATTTTTAGCAGGGTACATTGAGTCAGAGTGAAGGTATTGTACATGTGTATATACATGTATATATGCATGTATACTGCAGCGGTCCCTTTTATAACCATTCTCAAGTCATACAGGGCATCAAGCTATTACCTGACGTAAACAAAAGACTTAAGACACAAACTTGCCACATCCAATTGGCCAGTTGAACATTTTTTTGTGTACGTCAATTAGCACCTTTGACTTCAGCTTGGCAGCTGCTGAAATCGTCGACGGTATGTGCTCTCCATATGTGTGCACAAAACTTTCACCAACAACAACACGAGTCGAATGTTCTCAACGATACACGCGCTATTCGGAATTCCAATTCCCAATTCCACAACACCGAATCCCAAAGCCGAAATCCAATTCCAAATGCAAAGTTGTCGTGTGGAGCTGCCAAGTGAAACATGATTAACACGACGCACAACTTGGTATCCGTTTCTATGTGTATGTGTGTGTCTTGTCGATGAAAGGCGGAACATACACAACAACACCAACAACAACAACAAGACCAACTAAAATGCGAGTTGAGAATTGAACGAACGAAACGATTGACCCACATTGGCTAGTGAGGCTCGTTTGTTTGGTTTTCGTATGGATCAACAAATAATAAATTTACCAAAAAAAAAGAAGAAAAATAATGTTCTAAGTGTCATTCTATGCGGCTTGCCGCTGTTGTTGTTACACAGTTGACTTGACAACAACTTCCGCCCGTTAAGCAAACAACGTGAAAATTGATTGACAGAAGCAGATCACACGAATGACTTAAAATTGAGGGCGAATTGAAGCTGTAATTATAATATTGAATAGAAATTAAATGTTAGACTGCAACCTTGACCTTTCAGCAGCTACTCAAGCAGCTACGGCTACTCATCTAAAATTGGATAGTAACAGCTCTTGAAAAACAAAAGGTTCTTCACTAATCATCCATGGCACAGCTATCATCCATGGCCCACGCTTATTAAAATTAGCTTTCTTTCATCGTGGGTTCGTTTGCATAACTGTTTTTAGATCACATTTGGCTACTAGTCAAACCAGTTTTGTATTGAACTACAAATGTTTTTCAATTGATAACATTCAAGCTATCTACATACCAAGCTTTAGTCTTATAAATACATATTTTACACAGGTAGACCTATAAGCTCATTGTAACATACCAAAATTCTCTGAGAAAAAAGATGCTTAGTTTCTATGCAAGTTTCTGTCTATGGAGAAGTTACATTTTTAAATACTTAGTTCATTGAGAAGTTCATGTCAAATTTTAAGGTACAATCAATTTGACTTTGGGGTCTCGTCAATTTTGTCATTCCGTTGTCAGTCTCGGAAACTGTTGTGACCAAAAAAATTTAACGGGTCTTGTGTTTTGTTGATTTACGGCTGTCACTGATTTTCGAGTGGTAAATTGCGCCCTGCGGTTGCAAGTTGCCGGTTGCTAGTTGTTAGTTGCTAGTTTCCAGTTGCCAGTTGCGAGTTGTGAATTGCCAGCAGACAAATTGCCGCTTGGCAGCTAAACTGAGTGATGGCAACCCAAAGCCGCCGGTTCGAATCATTGATTTCATTGATTAATTGAACAATGACGAACTGAAAGAGCGTAACGCAAAATTGAATGTGCCGCTGATGATTATTGGACCAAGATGACGCAGCAGGCGGCAACAAAAATAAGTCGAGAGCACGAAAATCAAATGAAAATTGACGATTAGTGGTTAAATACTGAAATTGAAATGGAAACAGAAAGGCGCCAATTAAAAGGTATTTTGTCATTGAACGAAAGTAACTAAAATTGAGGCTAAACTAAAATTGAGTTAGAATTCACATAGTAAATGAAACAAAAAAAATATATTGAGTTAAAATTGAAATTTAATTAGGGAAATGACGAGTGTATATCAAATTTATACGGAAAATAAAATATTGAATGGCATAAAATGGGAAGTGGTAATTTTAACTGAAAAATTGAAGATAGTTTCAAATGAAATTTTTTAATTCGGTGACAAATTAAAAGTAATTATCACTTGCAACGAAAGTGGTTTAAAAAAAAGTTGAAACTGGCATCGAAACTAAAACTGAGACTGAAACTGAATCTGACTGAGATTTAGACTGACACCTGCCCGTCCACAAAACTTGAAGCAGCTGAGTTCAGTTGATGTGCTGTATAGAAAGTCAAATGAAACCGAAAAACAGAGACGATGAAGAAGAGGAGGAAAAGCACACACACACACACACACAGTTTCACGTTCTGCGATCTTTGAGCGCGTCATGAGCCGCTGCCTGCCTAGCCTTAGTCTTAGCTTCAGTTTTAACTTTAGAGTTGAGTGAGTTGCGAGTGCCTTTTATCCGACAGATGCATCTGATTAATGAATCTCTGCCACACACACACAACACACATGCGTAGCGTGTAATTAAGCCCAAGCAACTACAACCACTACAACGCCAGTTGAAAGAAAAAGTAAAAAAAAAAATGTACAAAAAAATAAAATAAAAAAATTTCACTTTTGCTTAAAAATGTCTACGTTTAGGTCTATGCCCAGCTACTCAACAATATGTACAGGCCTTGTAGCACTTGTTAAATTCTAGCACCCCCTTCTTCACTTGCAGCCATTCCACTCTGACTAATTGGTCAAGCAAGGTCAGTCGATTTTAGTGACTTGACTTGACAAATGTGCATGCACACAGAACTTTTTCGAATTTAGTAGATTTTGTGTTTGTTTGCTTCTTTTTGTTTTTGTTTTTGTTTTGCCCAGAAAGCGTGTCAGGGCCATGCATAGACTTATGCAGCCCACTGTCTTAGCCCTGGCCAGTTGGAGAGACCTTGCTATCTTAGTCTGGGAAACAAAAAAAAAAAAAAAAAATCCAACACACACAATAAAACAAAAGCCTGAAACAACAAACACTCTTTGAGAATCCCAAAAACTATCAAATCTCAAATTAGAATCTCTTTAATCTTAACTCTTGAAATGTTTTCCCATCTTTATAGTACTAAATGTGGCCGCTGGTAAGGCACCAATGCAAATATCAACTGATGGGGCCGGAGCCCCGCAGAAGGCCATCGATGGCTCCACCTCTGCCTTCTTCACGCCGGAGACGTGCTCCCTAACAAAACCGGAGCGTTCGCCCTGGTGGTATGTCAATCTGCTCGAGCCCTATATGGTTCAACTGGTGCGTTTGGACTTTGGTAAATCCTGTTGTGGTAAGTTCATCAATCATAATTTTTTCTAATCAACTGTATTAATGAAGTAGAGCATTGGGCTTGAAAGTCAGTCCAATTTGGTTGGTTCCATTGAAAATCAGGCTTAATATGCATTAGCGCAATAGATCAACTGAAGACAAAACTCATCCTCATCGAAGTTTTTATTTGATTCTGATTCGAAGCCTGAGTTGCAAGTACTGAAAAAGTGTTTTGCGGGTTAAGGTTAGTTCAGTTTGACAATGGCAATTAGAGTCGCAGACGGAGACGGAGACGGAGAAGCCAAATGGCAAATGTTGCACGAAGTCACTTGACGGGTTGCAGACCTGCAACCAAACAGGCAAAAGGGTAGCCCCAAAACGTTCGCTAAGGCAAACAACTGTCAGACTTTCGGACAGACAGAGAGAGCGAGGGAGAGGAGAGAAGAGAAGAGCTGAAAAAGAGCGAAAGAAAGAAAGAGAGTCAGGCAGGGACAGAAAGAAGCCAGCTAGACGAGTCAACCAATAAGTTTTTTTCCCAAATGCTTTCACTTGGCTGCAACAAGTTGAGGCTGCCGCAAAATGTTATGTGATTTTTATGCGGCGGCGGTGGTTCAGTCAGTGGTTCAGTGGCTCAGTGGCAGGGCCAGTTGCTGCTGGTGGGGCAGGCAATATATGTGGGGAACCGAATATTTATGATTACTTTCACTGCGCACTGCGAACTGAACTTGCCTGACCCGCTGCATGCCGCACATGCCATATGCCACATGCTACAATGGGCTATTGGGAAAAAAGATATTTTTTTTAGGACAGAAAGTCTTTGCTTAAGGGAGCTTAATAAAACGCATTTTAACATTGAATGACTTACAAAGTATAAATATGTTTTATTGTAAAATTATGAATTAGAGAACATGCCAACTAATTGTATTTCATGCATTTTTGATGGTTACTTTCTCAGGTAACAAACCGGCAACAATTGTGGTCCGTGTGGGTAACAATCGTCCAGATCTGGGCACGAATCCGATTTGTAATCGGTTTACGGGTCTACTCGAAGCCGGCCAACCGCTCTTTCTGCCCTGCAATCCACCGATGCCGGGTGCCTTTGTTAGCGTCCATCTGGAGAACAATACACCGAATCCATTGTCCATATGCGAGGCATTCGTCTATACGGATCAGGCGCTGCCCATCGAGCGCTGTCCCACATTCCGGGATCAGCCGCCCGGCGCGTTGGCCTCGTACAATGGCAAATGCTATATTTTCTATAATCGACAGCCGTTGAACTTCTTGGATGCGTTGTCTTTCTGCCGCTCCCGAGGCGGCACGCTGATCAGCGAGAGCAATCCGGCGCTGCAGGGCTTTATTAGCTGGGAGCTATGGCGTCGCCATCGCAGCGATGTCAGCTCCCAGTACTGGATGGGGGCAGTGCGTGACGGCAGCGATCGCAGCAGCTGGAAGTGGGTCAATGGCGATGAGCTGACTGTCTCCTTCTGGAATCATCCCGGCGGCGATGAGGACTGCGCTCGCTTCGATGGCTCCAAGGGCTGGCTGTGGAGCGATACCAACTGCAACACCCTGCTTAACTTTATCTGCCAGCATCAGCCCAAGACCTGCGGTAGGCCCGAACAGCCGCCCAACTCCACAATGATTGCGCTCAATGGATACGAGGTCGGCGCCCAAATCAAATACAGCTGCGATGCAAATCATCTGCTCGTCGGACCTGCCACACGCACCTGCCTCGAGACGGGCTTCTACAATGAGTTTCCGCCTGTCTGCAAATGTAAGTGCCACACAGTGTACTCAATACTCCAAGCAGAGGCAATATGAGTACTACTCATGACTCTATCACGACCACCCTTAACTGCAACTAATAGTTGTTATCAGATGAACTAACACGATTCTTTCTTTAGATATTGAATGCGGTCTGCCGGCCAGCATTGCTCACGGCTCGTATGGACTGCTAAATGGCACCGTTGGCTATCTGAGCTTGGTGAAATATGCCTGCGACGAGGGATACGAGATGATAGGACGCGCACTGCTGACCTGTGACTTTGACGAACGCTGGAACGGACCGCCGCCACGCTGCGAGAGTAAGTCTCAGATTCAAATCGCAATCATATTCACATCATAACCAAACTCACATCACTGTACAACTCTTTGATTTTTTCTGTGCACAGTTGTTGAGTGCGATACGCTGCCTGGCAACTATTACAGCACGATAATCAGTGCTCCAAATGGTACTTATTACGGCTCGAAGGCGGAGATCAGCTGCCCGCCGGGCTACCGCATGGAGGGACCGCGAGTGCTCAGCTGTTTGGCCACCGGACAATGGAGCAGCGCGCTGCCGCGCTGCATCAAACTGGAACCACCCACGCTGGCCACACCCCCAGCACCACCGGCGCCGCCGTCAACGGCAGCAACACTTGCACCACCGTCATATAGGCCCAAGATTATAGCCACCACCAGTCGCACACCCGCCTATCGTCCCCCCAGCAGCAGTTCCCCCACGGGCGGCACGCCCAGCACTGCAGCCAGTTATCCACGTCCGCATCCCAGCTTGAGCACGCCGCAAGTGGAGATCAATGGTGAAGGTGAGCAATAAAATCAATTTTTGACAATAATCTTAGGCATAAATAGAATACTTACAACCAATTTGCTTGCCTGAAACATGGCTTGTATGTTGATGTTTGGCTGGTAGAGTGCCGACACTCAAACAACTAAGCTGCTTTGATTCCGGTTCCGAAAACGGAACACACGAATAACCCCCCAGCCAATCGACTGCAAATGTAAAGCCTAATGCATGACATGCTCTCTCTTCGCACAGGCGACTCTGAGGAGGACAACATCAATGTGCCCGTACCTGGCACTGTGCGCGAAGAGTTCCCGCCACGTCGCACCGTTCGCCCCGTGCTAATACCGAAGAAGCCGAGCAGCACGCCAGCGACCAGCTACAGTAGCAGTACTAGTAGTAGCAGCACCAGCACCACACAGTATGCTGGTCCTGGTCTGCATGCGGGTCCTGGCTCCACCTATGCACCGACACCGACGCGGACGCGTCCCACGCTAGAGACGACGACGCGGAATACACAGCAGATAATCCTCAATTCGCATCCTCAGGATAATGAGATCGCGGACAGCGTTAATATTCGACAGAATCAGTCGCCCAATGTCAACGTTCCATTTGCCGTCGATAATCCCGACCGCAAGGAGACCAAGGAGGCCAAATTGAATCTGGGCGCCATTGTTGCACTTGGTGCTTTCGGTGGCTTCGTCTTCCTTGCCGCTGTCATCACCACCATTGTCATCCTGGTCAGAAGGTAAGTACTTCAATCAATCAGTCACTTAACCAAAGTAACATTTTTCAATTTAACATTCAAGTTGTATATTGTTAATTGAGGTTGAAAGAAAAATGCAGTTTTTAAGATGAAATTTAAGCAGAAGCTTTGCATTCACATTAAAGTTAAAGCTTTAAACAAAAGAATAAGAATACGATTAAGATTGAATATAAAACTGATATTGAATTTCACCTTATTGAAGTTCAGATAGAAAGTAAAGATTAAAGATGATATTAAGACTTAATTCAAAAATTGACAATTTAAACGTAAATTTAAAACTAAAATTGATATGTGTGAAGCCTGATTTAGCTTAGCTAATTTTAAAAGAAAATTTAATATTGTGTCAGCAACTGAAAACGTAAGCAGAATCGGACACCGAAATATCGAAATAGAACATTTTTATAATACCTAAAAGATAAAGATAAACTTTTCCTAAGCCCTTAAGCCACAGACAAAATTTAAACACCCTATTTATATTTCCCACACCCCCCAACCCACTACTGTATACCCTGTGACTGTAACTGATTTTTTTCTAGTGCTCTTCTTGTTTGCCTTTTGTTTGTTGTTTTCGTTTGCAATTGTTGTTGTTTCTATATATATATATATATTCTAAACCTTGGCCTCGTACTCATTGCTCTCCCAGCTGTCGCCCTCGCTCTCATTTGTATAACCCACCATATAACTGTACATACACCAAAGAAGATGAAGTTGAAGATGAAGAAGAAGAGAGTCTCTCAGCCGTTGCACACTCACACTCATAAACACAATAACACACACACACACACACACACATACACTCGAGACACGCATACATAGATCGAAACGCTTTCTCTTTCTTTTGTTGTACAACTCTCTTTTTTCGTTTTCGTTCTCTCCTCTCTCGATTTCGGCAAAAACCATTCGTCAGCACCCCGAACAGCAAACGGCGGCACCTAGCTAAACATTTTACCAATTACCATCAACAACACAACCATCATCATCACCATCACCAGCAGCAGCAGCAGCACCATCAGCAGAAATCGAGGCACCTTCAGCACCAGAAGCGTCAACAACAACAGCCATACCGTGGAGCCGGGGTACACAAACCACCAGCACCACCACCATTGCCTCCAAATCGATTGCCCAGCTATGCAACGGCAACGGCAAGAAGCGCTACAAGCTATGCCTCAACGGCCCAATTGACTCGGTGCAGCAACAAAGGTAGCGACCGTGTCAAAGGTAGTGTCATCGGTGGCTACCACATGCGTTTCTTTGGCGATGGGTACGGCAGCATTACGTCGAGTACACGATGCGAGCCGGCACCATCGCTGTGGTACAGCGTCCTGGCGCTACCCTTTGATGATCAAAAGCTCGCCCGACGCGAGCTTAGCACATATGGGCGTGGCTATAGGTCAAGAGCGGGTCTCTTTAGCAGTAGTCATATGTAGAACGGAACAGAACAAGGAGCAAGGAAGAGAGGAGAAAGTGGAAAACGAAATAGTTATCCAAAGTATACAATACAGAAAGGGCAAACAAGCTTATGCCAAAGAGAGACAGAAACGAATCGAAATGGAATCGAATGGAATGAAACGAATGGAATCGAATCGAAATATGAAACGAAGTTAATAACCACAAACCGAAGACTACCTGTGAATGTAATGTGAACGTGTGCCAAAGATGAGCTACAATCAAACTAAAGACAACTATCAATAAACTATCGATCAATCAATAATCAATCAAAACACTCAATCAAACTATAATAATACAGTGCCTACAATGCAAACCGCACAACAACAACAACAACGGCCATACACACAAATGTAAGCAGCCAAAAAAATACTTAACATACCAACAAAAACCAAAACACAATACAACAACACACGCTCAATCAACAAGCCAATATAAACAATCAATCAATCAAGCAACACATATAAACTTTGGACCTTTGGAAGTCATTTTTGGTTTTCCAGTTGAATGCTGTGGGGCTGCCTATTTGCTGTATCATTTCATCAATCAATCAATCAATCGATAAATCATTCAATCAATCAGTCAAACAAAAGCTGTTGTCGGGCTACACACACACACACACATACACACACACACAAACATAAACAAACACGCAGACACATGCATACTCGTCCCATTCTTTTATATATCTAAGCGCGCTCTCTCTCTTTCTCTTTCTCTCTGTCGCTCTCTTATACTGCACATTTGGTCTTCCAATCTGAGGTTGGCGCGCTCTCTTTTGTGTTTAATTAATCATCTCTCATCTGTCATTTGTATTGTAATATGATGTATGTTACTTGTCGCTAATCTCCCGCACGCACTCTATTTAAATGTATGTTCTCTCATCTCTCTCTCTCCTTCTCGTTCTCTGTGTTTTTTGTGTAACTCTCTTGTAACTAACAAACGCCCAATTGTGTATTCCTTGTAGCACCCTATCCCTCAACCTCCTCCCTACATCCCTCTCTATCTCTCACACTCTGTCCATTTTAATTTGTAATTTAACTAATTAAATGTTTCTCTCTCTCTCTCTCTCTCTTTATGTGTCTTGATTTCACGCTCTCTCGTAGAAACCGCACGACGCAACATTATCGTCATCGCGCCTCACCCGACTGCAACACGGTCGCTAGCTTTGACAGCTCTACCTCCGGCTCTCGCAATGGCCTCAATAGGTTCGTGTCTACGCTAAGCGTTTTTGCATTGTGGCTGCAGCTAAAGCTCTCGCTTGCGTTCTCATTCACAGATACTATCGTCAGGCGTGGGAGAATCTGCACGAATCCGCCTCGAAGAACAGTTCGCACAATGCTCTACGCCGCAAGGAGACCCTCGATCCGCCCAGCATGACACGCTCCCGCGACAATCTGCGTGACAATATGCAACGCTCCCGCGAGAATCTCGACAGGTGAGATGACAACCACAAAATGCCAAATTTATGGAATTTAGTTTATTTTCTGATCATGCAAAATAATATAAATTATAACTTTAAAAATCGATAATTAACGTCAATCTATATTTGGGTCTCTTTCAGATGCGGCCGAGATAACTATGGAATGCGCGACAATTCAGAGATGGTCGTGTCGGATGTGTGCTTAAAGGGGGAAAAGAAGCGCCACCATCATCATCATCATAAGAGCAGCTCCCGCAATGGGGACTATCGCGATCGGGATCAATCCGCTGGTAGACGCGATCATCACAGGCACAGCGGTGGTGGTGGTGGTGCTGGCAATGGGGGTGCTGGTAACGGCGGTGGTGGCGGACACTATTGACCAACCATGATAATCACCATCAGCGTGGAGGAGCAATAGGAGCTATCGAAGCAGCAATCGAAGCAATCGCAGCCTGGAAAAGCACACAACGAAACTTCTTAACTCTCTTCTTTTTTTTTTGTAGTTTTCATGTGTTTTTTTTTCTTGTCTACACTCGAATTGCGGTTTAGTCGTAGGTCCATAACTTTCTGTTTATAGCAAAAATAATTAAGAAGATGATCAAGAAGAAGTGGAAGAAGAAGAGGATGCATATTAGAGTTACGCGATTCTTGAAAACTTTTGCAAGTCAATAGCTACTATATATCGTATACATTGTATACTCGTACTTATACACATATATATGTATATTCCCTAATCGTATCTAGTTTTGGTATTACTCCGATACACCTTACCCCCAACCCCCCATTCCCATCATTCATCCTAATTTCACCCCAGTGACTCGTCTATTTATTGCGAAAGTTTTTTTTTAGTTACAATTTTTATGAATTAGTTGTAAAAAACCAACAAGAAACAAAAACGAAAACAAATACAAATACAAAAACAACCAATGTGTGGGAAAGGCCAGTCGAGGCGTGGAGCGGTTTATATATGTTAGTTACTAGAAAAACAAATAACAAAATATACGAAATTAAAGGAAAAGAACACAAGCACAGTGAAAAGTATCCCAAAATAAAACAAACCTAAAATAAAAACCTCAGCATATACAAATAATTATGTGCAACTTGGTTTAGCTTAAGGCGAGGGTAGTTCCTGCAGTTCTTAGGCCAAATCGACTTGCGCATAGTAGTTGCAATATCTACTTAGTTACGTATACCCCAATATTCCTATATCCCAGCAACAATAGCTCACAAATCGAAAAATCAATAAAGAATAATATTGTAGTACGCGTGCCATTAAGGGCAACGAAGCAAAAACAAAATTAAAAACAAAAACAAAACAAAAAAAGAAACGAAATCATTTTACATTTACATCTGTGCACGTAATATATACAGTTGTTCCATTCCGCACACAAAACACACACTTTCTTTTATAGCGTTTAATATTTTTAATATTTTTAGAGTGTTTGTTTTGAGAGAGTGTAAAAATTATTTTTGGATAGGGCGGACGCTTTCTGTAATGCAAAAGCCGCAGATTATGCAATATTATTTGTATTTCATGCATTATATTTCCAATGTAAATAATAATAATTTATTTCATAAATAAAACAATGATCATTTTAACTGAAATTCAAATCAACGACTTTTATTCAAAATTATTAAAAATTATTGCGCCAAAATGCGCCATCTATTGACATCAATGACATTCATCTATGAGTAATTGGCTGTGCGCAATCATTTTCAGAACACTCAACTATCGATAATTGCGACTTGCCAGCAGATGGCGCTGTTTGTTTTCGTTGCAACCCTGCAGCGTACGCCATATTGTGACAGCTGCTGTCAAACTGAAGTTTGTGTGCTACGCCTCTCTCTCGCTCTTTCTTCTACGAGCGTTCGCCACACAAGATGGTGCGTCAATAAAATTTATCCACGTTCAAGCCGAAATAAAATCGCCAATTTCTATTAGCATCCGATTATATTTTTAACTAAAATCATATTGCAATTATTGCGCGTGTGCCACATAATTTATATTCGTTGAGATTTCATTCAACTGCCGTCCGCTGCACCACCAAAATTAAAAACAAACATTGGCGATTTATATTTCTGTTTGTTTGATTGCTCAATACTAATGCATTATTTGTTGGCTATTGCAGACGAAGGGTACCTCGAGCTTTGGTAAACGCCACAACAAGACGCACACTTTGTGCCGTCGCTGTGGACGTTCCTCATACCACATCCAGAAGTCCACTTGCGCCCAGTGCGGTTATCCCGCCGCCAAGTTGCGTTCATGTAAGTTGCCCCGCGACCAACTGTTGCCAATTATTATTAACTTAATTGTCTTCCTTTTTGAAACACAGACAACTGGTCGGTCAAGGCCAAGAGGAGGAAGACCACTGGCACTGGCCGCATGAGCCACTTGAAGGTGGTGCGTCGCCGTTTCCGCAACGGTTTCCGCGAGGGCACCCAGGCTAAACCCAAGAAGGCTCAGGCCAGCAAGTAAACGCAACAACAACTGGCAGCGGCAACAACAACAACTGGCAGCAGCAACAGCAAAAAACACCCATAAAAAAACACAAAATGGATACTCTGCCATTTCGCTGGAGTTAATAAATTAACATCTTTTTTTTTGCCAAGTGAATATTTGTGCTTATTGTATTTAGTTTGTTTTTTTTACCAGTGGTTCTGTGAACAATGTGTGGTGCAAGGCGCAAAAGGCACCGCAGCAACAAATGAAACACGAAGTGAGACCAGCAAATAGCTTGTCAAATTTTTTATTTTTCTTATCTTTTTTTTTATTGTGAATTGACATTGGCTGCTGGTGTGCTAACTGCGTCGGTGAATGTCATTTTAAAACTTTGTTGCTGCGGAGCCCTTGCTCCAAGGAGGCAGACATGTTCGTTCATGTTGGGCGATGTACTGAGGATGAGCGAGAACAATATGAATAGCTTCAGCATTGGAAGTGCTTAATGCACTGGAAAACGCTCGTTGTGACACCTTTCTTTCAGTCCATGCTGCAGCATGCAGTTTGTGTTAGTAGCTTAGAGAGCGAGCAGGGCAGCAATAGCAATATATGTGCAACCTTGTCTTATTTGTTATATGCTTTGCCGGTTCGCGCTTTTATTTAGTCAGAGACCGGGCAAAGCATTTTGTGCCGCATTAACATTCAACGAGAGCTGATGCCACTATTTCTACATTGGATTAACAGCTGCAATAACCTATTGGAATACAGAATTGAGGCGTGCAGCATGCAACTAGGCAAGCAAGCAATGTTTTGCAGACCGTAGGCACTGCTATATGGGAAAATGATGAATAAGCAGGCAAATGTTTAACACACATCAAACATCAACATGAAGCAGATAACTTATGACTTGACTGCGCTCAATTAAAGCTGAAAACCAGCGCCTCTTGTGCCTTCTAAGTGCATAAATACGTAGTCCATATGGAAATTGGACTCGGTCACTTTATTAATACCGAGAAACTCTGCACGAGTTTCATAATTTTGTCGTGAAATGTGAACGTAACATTTCTGATATATGTATGTAGTTCTGGCAAAAGATGAGTGCTTGTATGCGAAAAACGTATCCAACACTACTAACAAGCATATTATACAGATTCCACACAGACAATTGGTCGGCTATTTGCATTTTTTTTGTTCCACAGGCGCTTCAGTTACCAAAAGCTGGTTTTACCTTTATTGAGATGGCAATCTATATCGATTTGTTTGCAGGTTGCTGTATTTGGTAGCACGAGCAGATGCCATTCACCAGTGACATAAATTAGGTTGCTGCATTGACTTAATTTCCCTCAACCGAAAAATTGCTGCATACTTTTAGGTGAGCTCTGAATATGAAAATATGTTGCTACTTGCAAAAATGGTGGTATACTTTAAGGAGCATATATGCGACGAGACAATAGCTCATGTTTTTAAAGGAGATTGTGTTTTATAATCACAAGAACGTACTCCATTGAACTGCAGTCAAGGACTATGGCATACAAATTTGTCCTGCAGCGCGAAAGGAAATCAGAAAATACGTTTATTGGAGTCAACTACTATCCGTGGCTCATTTGAATGAAACGCATTGTTTAATGTTTTCAATTTTATTATACTAATAGTACAATTCAAAAAAATTAATAATATATAACTGCAATCGACGTCACTTAAAATTAAATATATTATATTTTAATTATATATATAACACAAGAGCTGGGAACAAGCTCCAGAAACGGATTTTTTATGTTTTTTTTTAGCAAGCAAGATGTTAAAAGATATGATGCCGTACAATAAAACAACAACGACAAGCAAGCAGTAGTTGGTTAATTAATGACTACAAAAAAAATCGCATTTTTCTTTACAGAATGACTAACAGTACAATTTACAATGTATAAAGCGTTTCACTATAACTAAGGGCGGATTGTGGGAAGCGGAAATGCGCATGGGAAAGGGACGGGTTATAGGCGTAGACGTAATCAAATTAAATACATTGCCACTAAATGCTAAGACAAATTTACAAGATACAAACACAAAAGAAAGCATCGGGGCTAATCGGCGTGCGGATGCGGATGCAGATGCGGATGTTCAAGCGAATCCGAGGTCGGATGCGGATGCTGTTGATGTGAGGCAGTATCACTTGGCTGTGTGCTTGGCGTTGTCGTCGTTGTCATCGTTGCTGCTGGCAGCGATTTGGCCTTGGCAGGGGGGCTAGAGTTGATTAGCAGCTTCTTAAGGTTCTGGAACGGTGCATCGAAGAGCACCGTTAACGCCACTGATGCCAAAAATATCGATATAAATTCGTTGGTATCGAGCTAAGAAATCGAATGAAAATCAAATTAACACATATTTATATCATTATATGGATATACTCACAATAACCGAGATAAAGTTGTAATAGTGATGGATATGACGTCTTCTGCCGACATTATAGAAAAATACGGGAAACTGTGTGAGGTAAATGGCATACGATAGTTTCGTGGACACTTGAAAGCCGCGCCAGGCAAACAGCCTCGTCAATTTATCTGCAATCAGTCAAATCAATCAATCAGTAAAAAAAAGTATGTATATAAAAATAGCTTAAATAATGTATTTGATTGTGCACTTGAAATACAACTCACTCTTGTAGCCATTGTGGGAGACAAACACAATCCAGGAGAAGAACAGGCACCAGGCGATCGGAGCAAATGCGGCATAAATGGCCGCATGCGTTGAATTGTATACATAGTTAATGTGACCCATCGGAGCAGGACCCAGCAAGGAGGCGAGGACACAAACTGTCGCCGCCAGCCAACCGAGACGCAACTGGAGCCGGGTCAGCTTGATCCCCTGGTACTTGCGCAGCACATAGCCCAACAGAATACCCATGATGTAGACCGTGGAGCGATGTGGCGGGAAAGAGTACATGTAGTCGGCAGTGCGAAACAGTCGCTGAATGCTGTAAAGGATCGAAGAGCAGATCGAGCAGAATATAGAGTAAATATTTTGAACCATTACTTAATAGAATTTAGATCGATCGACTGGCAGATATCCTTCACATATATCTTGCACAAATGATTAGGAAACCACTTTTGCAAAGCATAATCACAATATTGTTGATATTAGAAGTGATAAGATCTTAATCTATATATGCAATATAGTTTAGACAGACGGATAAACTTAGTCTTTATACTTAACCTTATAAATTGAATTAAAATTTCAACCAAAATATTCACGTGTTGCTGAAGCGATTCACTTACTTGGTGCCAAAGTATATATAGTTCGATAGCTGATTCACAATAGTTGTATAGTAGCGTGCTGCTGTGCCCACTGTGCAGAGCAGAAGGAGAGCGAAGAGGCCGCGGCGTGGCCAGCGCCAGAGGGCAAGGATGAAGAGCGGCGCTACCGCGAACAGTTCCGTATCGATGCCCAAGTGATGGGTGTGCGTCAAGCACATCTCGCTGAACCCAAAATAGTTGTGGATGAACAGAAGATTGCGCCACCAGTGTTGCTTGCAGATATCCGCATGATGACCCACCACCAGATTCCACTGCGGACCACTACCCCACAGAGGCAGGACATACGTGCAGAACAGGATCAGGGCGGCCAATGGCGGGACAATGCTGTACATCATCATGATCAAGAGAAATCGGTTAAGCATTCATCAGCAGACCGTGTTGACCGACTTACCGCATTAGGCGACTGATGTACTCGTTCTTGAGGCGAATGGGCTGCTGTTTCATGAGGCGACCAAACAGAGAGTAGGATGTCAGCATGCCGCTGAACAGGAGAAAGGGGTCCGTGTAGAGGGATGCCGCACGTCCTATGACCGTCCACGGTTGCCCCAAACTCTCGGACATGGCCGTTCGATTGTTGTACGGATTGAAGAACATGGCCATCGATTTGTGCGAGAAGATGAGCATCATGGCATTTAGGAATCGTATGCCATGCACAGCCTCAATATCACCCGATGAGCTGCGCGTGCTGAACAGCCAGCGCAGATTCTTGTCCAGCGAGAAGGCTGTGCACCAATTGTCTAACAGCAAACTCTTGTTCAGATTGATAAATTGACAATATGATTGTTTGTTGCACTTACTCTGCTTTGGCTGTGCCTTAGTGCTTCGATCGTAGACGGTGGAAAGCACTGCCAGGCAGACGACGAGGACAAAGAAGCGCACCGCCCACGTGGTATTCCGATCCCAGGGCTGCTGATCCCTCACCTGGCACATCTGCGGCTCGACGCGCACATTGAAGCTAATGCCCGTCGCGGACGTCTGGTTGCGCAGATACTCTGCCACACTAAACTCCACGTCGCGATGCGTGCAACCGGATGGCACACAGATGCCCCAGTTGATCAGCGAGTAGCGCGGTACGCGATGACCCGGCTAAAAAAAAATGATGTACGAAGAATATATATAAGAATAAGCCTTAAAAAATAACAGCAATCGTATAAGATAAGAATAGTTATTATATCTGTTGTTATTCGCACAAATAGCAACTAAAACTAAAGTTAACATTTCGCTTTTAGCAAATCTCATTAAATCTATCCCCGACCCAATCTATTCATTGCCATGCATGCTCTCGATCAGTTGCATAGAAATAGATAGAATGTAATGCATGCTCTCGATCAGTTGCATAGAAATAGATAGAATGTAATAATTGCATGCAACTGATCGAAAGCATGAACTTTTTACATAGAAATAGCTAGATTGGGTCGGGGCGTTAGGAATAATTAATTTGGAATACGTTTATCAATTAATGTAGCGCACGCTCGCAAGTTTGTTGCCCAAATCTTTTGTTTACAAACTTTAGCTGCTAACTTTGGCTGCTAATTGATATAAAATCGAAATAGTAAATTCTACGAAAAATCCCGACTACGGTTTGAATTCATCAAAATCTATCGATTTACGTTAAAGAAAATATAAAAAACAGCTTCGTTGGGTTCGACGAACTTCAGCCGGTTGGTTTGGGGCCAATGATTAACATATTATGCCCATCTATTCGCATTTGCCAACAACAAAATCCACGGATAGTGACAACAGCAACTTTTTTTTTGGCCAAATCAAATCGAATATTTCGTGCTGCTCACATTTTTCGTCAAGTTCAATGTCGGGGCTGCGGAGCAGGGCTTTCGTAGCTCTCAGCACAACAACAACGACCACTATAAAACTACCATTTTAGCTGCTGCTCTCTCTCTCTCTCTCTCGCTAGGTGCCTAAGTATTTGAAGCGACGTCACGAAATATTCGGACTTTAACTTTCGTTAAAGTCTCCTAAAATTATCGACACACCTAAACACACACACACACACACACTCACAGGTAGGCATGTGTGTGTCATGGCTATTGTCGCATTTGATCTCATTGCAATCTCAGTCACGTGCAAAGAACACCATTAAGATTGCATTAAGAGCAAGTACAAGGCCAACGAACCTCAACGTAGCCATATTAATATTAAAAGATTAATATATATATATACATATATATATAGCTGTGTAAGACTCACATCGTTGAATTCGCTCCTGAAGGGTCCGTGCGACTGCAGTAGCTTGAAGAAGGCCTGCAACCGTTTCGATTTGTGTGGCAGCACTGGCTGTGCGTATGCCAAACAATATTGGCCGCGCAGCATTGAATTGGCCTGACCATTGCCATTGCCATCGTCACTACCGCTGCTGCTGACGTCATCAGTCGACTGCTGTATACCCAAGCACTGATCAAAGTCGCCCGGCTGATTAATGTTGCCATTTAGAATGCCAGAGTTCAGTTTACCGTTCGCATCGTGCACTGCAAAAGACACACAGAGAGAGAGAAAGAGATATAACTCGCATGTACAATTAAATATTTATTAGAAAAGAAAATTCTTTTCTGAATACTTTCAGGGGTGGTAAATTGTTGTCATATTTGTATTTTTGGTTGAACCAATATTATTGCAACACGGTGACTGTGACTATGACTGTGACCTTGACTGTGATTGGAGCGTGCGCGTCGCAGTCGACAGAGCTCAGCCAGTAGCAGCAACAACTCGTTCTCGTTCTGATTCTGAGCTAGCAGTCAGCCAGCTGGGCAGCAAAAGCAACAGCAGCAGCAGCAACAGTTTTGTGCCAAGTTCGCTCAGTGTTTTGCTGTTGTTGTTGCTGGTGCTGGTGCAATTTGCTGCAGTTGGCTTAAATTCACTCGTTGCGTTTGGCATTGTGGCTGCCGTTGCTGCTGCTGCAACTGCTGCTGCCTCTAAATGTGGGTAAAGTTCGACGCATAACCTTCACTTTAGCCGCACGACACATGAACATACATATACATACATATATATATAAAGATATAAATATAATATATATATATATAAATATACATGTGTGTTTGTGATTCTGTGTTTGCAATTTCAGAACTTGATTATTTGATGCATTTGACTTTGCACTCTTACAATTCATGTCGTCGCGTCTGGCGGTCACAATGCGGCTTCGGTTCTGGCTCCGGCTCCGGCTCTGACATCGACATCGACATCGACATCGGCTTGCCTCTTGGCTGCCCAGTTGGCAATGACTCGAATTCTGAGCAATCGCAGCTGATTGGCAGGCAGAAACACACAACTCACACATGCACGCAGCGCACATGCAAATATTCGGATACTCACTTTTCAAGGCCCATAAATCGAAATTGTCCAATGCTTTAAAATAGCGACGCATCTGCGAGCGGCACAACGGCGATGCGTCCGGATTCCGTGCCGCATCGAAGGGCTGCGAGATGGCAAGAAAGCGTTTACCAATGTTGTATAAATAAACTGCAATGAAAGATGCAAATTAAAATTAATAATCAAGTTAGATGGAAATTGGCAGGCAAAGACTACATCAAGCTGACGGCGGCAAGAACTGAAGTTGCACTGTGGCGTTTCCTACGTTTCCCACATTTTTTGCCACAGGAGTGATCGTTTGGCAATTCGATAATTAAGTACTTATTTTCAGCATTTGAAAAAATTTGGAACGAACACAAATTTGTTTTGCGGCAACAGTTAGTGCAGTCTCTGAACACCCGTGAGTTTTATATTATTTATTAAACAATTATCGAATAACGTATTTTGCTTCTTCTTTTTTTTTGGCAAGTTATCAATGATTTTGCGGGCTACTTATTCAATTGGGCGCGTGCCCGCAAACAGGAAATCAACTGATGTCAGCCAAATATGACAGCTTGGCAACCCGGCGAAAACTGAAAACCAAAACCAAAACCAAAAGATCCGCTGCAAGCCAACAAGCATGCTGCATAGAAATCGATGCTAATGAGGCGCCTCAACATTTATTTTTTTTTTTATGTGCTGCAGCCGCCACAATTCATCTTTTTCTTCAACAGCTGCCTTGGGTTATTGTTGTTGGTATACCCTGTACACATTCACAATGTTTAACAACTGGATTTTAAAGTTGTGTAGATCTTTAGAGGGTCTGAGAGATACAGATATACAATTTTCACTTTTTGCATAATCTTGAGAAAAAGATACACAAAACATTTTGTTTTGATATTTGTTATCTTTATCATTATCTTCTAAAAAAATGTACAAAATTTTATTCAATGAAAAAATGTTTTGTCATTCAAAATTAGATAATTTGAAAATGATCAAACAGCTTATTAGTTATTTGTGTTAATCACATACTGGCTACACGGTATCTCCCAGTGGAGCACTAATTCGCTCTTCACTGTTTCCATGGGGTGGCGTGCGTGCCAAGCCCAAAACGGAGATCCACTCCCAATATCGATACCAACACCAAATCCAAGTCCAGCTTAGTTTTGGTTTAGTTTTCTGCTCGTGCCTCAAAATCAGCATGCAATACGCATCATTTGACTTGTTGTTGTTGTTGTTGTTGTTCTGTTCTTATTAACATTATCATTGTTGGGCTGTCGCCTGTCTTATTTTTATGCTAAAGCTAATAATCTCAGTCGTTGTCAACTCTCATTTCGCATTCAGTGGCCGTTTCGTCTGACTACTGCCGACGACAATCGGTCGAGGCGATGGATCTGTCAGAGCTAAATTCGCTTCATTGCCTGCATCCGTCTTCCAACTGTCGATTGGTGGGCATGAGGAGTGGGGTTGGGGTGGTGTTGTTGATCGGGCAGTCCCCAAAGCTGTTCAAAATGCGTCAGAAATGCGACGACAAGCGACGACAAGCGACGACTGCGGAATTTGTCCCCTTGTCGTCATATTCTACACACAGCATTTATATATATGTACATATATGCGGCATGATAATTATCTACAAATTAGAATAGTATATAAAGAAAAACAAAAAAACCAGCCATATGGGAAAATTGGTAATGTGTCAGAATTCGATTACGAAGTTTTCAATCCACTAAAGATTCTAATTCATGCCTAGTTTTTTCTGTGAACAATTCTCAACAATATATTATTTTTGATTAAATAACATCAAGTGTAATTTAAAAACTTCGAGTAGCTTTGTTGTTAATTTCAACATAAATGAAGATTTATACAAAATTTGGATTCATTAGCCATCTCTGCACTTTTGCACTTCAAGTTGAGTAAATGTTGGGCTTTGCATAGCAAATGCGATTCCAGCGATCGTCAATCAATGTATGTATGTAATAATAACAAATGCATGTATGCATGTATTTAAAATACTAATTTTACTTTATGAATTTGAAGATAAATTACGCATTGGATAAAAGGAGGCGTGCTGAAGAGATTTGCTAATCATTGTTCATAATCGATGTAGAGGAAGTCTCGACTTAATGAATGAATCTAATGAATTCAAATTCAAAAGACATGCAAAAAATGTATAAGCAAAACAGTATAGATTGTCTTTCAAATGACAAAAAAAAAGTAGAATATTCACTTGGAGAAATCATTTATAATATACAGCAAGCATAAAAAAAAGGTTTTCTCGTTTGTACTCTTATGTAATCGACAAAAATTGATAAACAGGAAATCAATAAAAATGAAGATTAAGCTGAGAATTGAAAGCTGGAAACGGAAGAAAAAACTCAAGTCAAATAACGGTTATATTTATACAGAATAATATCTGATTTGCATTGTATTAATCTATAGATTCCCGAAATTGCATCATCATTTTACAATTCGATTAAAAATATATCCATTTACTGGATAAATAATATGTATTGTTGTGATGATTTACAGTGCTTGACTAGCCGAGGAACTGACGCAAGAATCGAAAGTTATCGTTTAAATTTCAGCTAACTGAGCATGACACCACAGATTTGGGCAAGTTTCAAAGCAAAATTCCAGCTCGGTTTCTATTTTTTGGGTTATATGTTATTATTGTTATTCTTGCTGCCGCCAATTAGCATCGCACCATCTCAAATAAGTATCATTTACTCTTGTGTAATATATATCAAATTGTATACTTGCTAATGCGATACACACTATGATTATTGAATATATATATATTTGTTGAATAAATATGCGGCTAGTTTGCTTGCGTATGTAATTTGTTTATGCATAAATATGACTTTATATTTAATTATTTTTTGCAATTAATATTTTACAACTATTTAATGAGAATGTACTGAGATGAATCTAGCAATTAATCAATATATTTGATTTATAACCTGGCGACAGGATGACTTGCCACAATAGTGGCATTTAAATTTATTCTGTGCATAGTCTATGGCTATTTAGCATTTCAATTGGCGATAAGAACGTGAATAACCTTTTTGAGCAATCATCATTGGCATAATCAGAAATATCGCCAAAGACAAAGTTGGCTTTGTTTTGACGTGAATCGAAACTAGTTTCGCTCATAAACACACGAGTCACGATGAACAAGTGCTGCAAAGTTATGTACCCATATTTCTGCAGTGTTGATTAACTGATTTTGTCATAAAGAGCAGGACTCGCGATTAGATCATCTCTCAACAGTTGCAGCTTACGTGCGATTTTGCACGATTTGCAGTCACCCGAATGGGGTCTGCACTCACAAAAAACATTGTACAATAATTGATAAAAAAAAAATGAACTTTCTCAAAAATCATCAAACACTTTTTTTTTCCAAGTGTAGGCTTTCCACCCGCACTCCCGCAACGCAGCGTAAATATTTAACCAGCTACCAACTTAAATAAGCGACAAGGCCGAACCTTTTAGCAAGAATAAGTGGGCAACAATTGAAATTCGGCTGACGATGCTAGAGGAACGGGGAGGGTGCACAGGTGGAGGGCGAGTGTTGCTCTGGCATGCTAATAAGCTGAGCTGCATAAATCAAGTCCCGGAAGTGCCCAAAGCAATTGGATCAGCCAACGTACTTCTATTCTCATATTTATCGACCCTTTATCATCAAATTACCAAAAATAGTTATGATCGCTGTGCTGTGCTCACAAAATTGCGTAAAAGCTATGCTAATTGATATGTTGGTTGCCATTTATAAAAACATTTATTATAGCCATACCTTATGTTCCCAAACACTTTAAGAATGAGAGCCATGGAATTTCATAAGTAGACTCTATGAGAGTTCTTGAAGCACACGAAAACAAATACTTAAATGTAACTTAATAAACTTTAAAAGAGTATATACGAAAAGTTGTTCATCTAAGAATTAGTTATATACTTTATTCTTTCTATCAACAACTCAGCCGCATCAAGTCTCTTTGAACTAAAAGAATGCACATAACTATTTCAAGTATTTTGGACATTTTCAGACATATATATTATATATAAATTTAGATGCATTTATTAACTTGAGCATCTTAGCTATGCCTTCAACTAGCTAGAGGGCATCTCAATGTCGTGTACTCTTCTTTACTTGCGTGTAAGTGGTCAAGTGGGCGGTTCTTAGCCGAGGGTTTGGTTCAATCACGTAGAGCTCTCATATACATTTTGGCTTGGAGGTCTTTCTGGCCATTAAAGTTGGTCGCGAACGTGGTAGGTCTGGCTCAAAGACACACTCAAGACACAGCCAAACAACGGCAGCAACGGCAACAACAACAGATATGTCAATTTTGTTATCTTGGTATTTAGAGGGGGGGCTCTCCATAATCGAGCAATTGATTTTATTTAACGCACACGCGCAACTTTTATGCAACAATTCGCGTCGCAGGCAGCGTTGTGCAAAAGTACGCAAAGGGACAGCTTAAGAGGCGGGATTGGAGCCAGAGCAGAAGAGAGGGGAGCAGGGGATTGTCCACTCGAAGAGTGTATAATAACATTAACAGCTACAAATGACACATCACAATTGATATCGAACACAAAGAGGCACAGAAAACGTAAAAAAAATATATAATAATAATAATAAAAACAATTACAATTTGCCTGCGGACATTTGCTTGAAGTGTGGACGAGGGAAGAGAGCGGGGAGATGGCGGAGTGTGGTGCGTGGGTGGCGTGAGAAAGTCCAAAATGGATTTTATTGTAAGTGTCCGAATTTAAAAATATTTGAAATCAATCGAAAAGTTTAGAAAATATATAAGCAAATTGAAATTGGCCTAAAGATACCCTGTATCCAAAGCAATTCATTTCAAAATGAATTTAATTATATGAGAAGCTACGTTCCAAATACCTCTCGTAGCTCTGAAGATATCTTAAGCTGTTCTTTTCAAAGATGATTCTAAATTGCAACAAATATTTGTATACAAGAAAAAAGTTACAAACGATATTTTTCGTATTTTCGATTTCATGATTTCTAACGAGCAATTTTTCAAAGTTTCGAGAATTATACATTTTGAAGTACAGCAGCAAATACCTAATGGAAAACAGACCTAATCATTTATGAATTTATGATGCTTTTCTCTCTCTTCCCTGCTTAAAGCGTAGAGGTAAAAGCACTCACCTTGCTCCTCATCCTGCGTTTGATCCTCATCTTCTTCTCCGTGCTGCTTGTCGCTAAATTGACGCACCGTAAAGTTGCTCGTGGTGAGATGGTGATGGTGGTGCAGCTCACTGAGATTGCCCGCAGCGAGTGCATCGTGCAGCACATCCAAAACCGTTGTTGTCGTTGTGGTTGTTGTTGTTATGGCTGTTGATGCTGTTGCATCATCCGCAAACAATTTCAAGCTATAGTTAACTTTGTCCTCAAATATGGATGCAATATGCGATTCAACGGGATCGCTGTCGCCACCGGCAACTGCCAGCAGATTGTCGCCCAAATTGCAATTGTCCTTCAGGCTGCAGGTGGGATTTGCAACAGCGGCAGCAGCGCCACTTAGCGCCCAGCAGCATCCTGGCAGTCCGCAGGCCAAAAGGAGCAGCAGCAGTCGCAACATGGCTCGACTAACAGAAAGGGATACGTTCAGCTAAGTTGAACTGACAGTTGCTGGCACATAATAAACACACAAAAAAACACTCGAACAACAAAACTGAGAAACACACACGGCCAAGGCGCAACTTGTAAAAAAAAAACACTCAAAAAAAAATGCTGTCACCAATCTATAAGATTTTAGATCACTTTTTGTTTTAAAAAAATATTTGTATTTTTAATTGGTTTAATTAATGATATTTAAATGTGTTGCTTTTCGTTTTGTTTTTGGTGGCAGGTGGGTGGGTGGTTAATGGCAGAGCCCAGCGACTAAACTCAGCGACCGTCAAGACGAAACATTCAACGTCAACTGATTGTCCAAAAGCCGCCGAGCGTACGAAGACCGCTTAGATGGGGCCGCGATTTCGACGGTTTCGGCGCTGCTCGGCTACAGCAGCAGCACATGTGTTTGTCTCTGTGTGTGTGTGTGAGTGTGTGTGTGAGTGTGTGTGTGAGTGTGTGTATGCGTGTGTCTCATATGTGAATGTGCTGGTGTTGTTATTGTTGTTGTTGTTGTGGCAATTTTTAGGCACCGAAAACATTTCAAAATCAAATGCAAGTCGAATTTTGAGCGATTCAGCTGCTGCTGCTGCTGGTGCTACTGCTGCTGTTGCTGCTACTGCTGCTGCTGCTGCTATTGCTGCTGCTATTGCTGCTGCTGCTGCTGCTTATGCTGCTGGGGCTGCGCATCTTGACAAGAATTGTCGATTGCATTGTGATTCGTGCCGCGCATGCGAATCTTTTCGTACGTTTTGTTCAAGTAAAAACTTCCCTTTTTTTTTCATTCATCAATCGATCTCTCGCATTTCTCACACAATTCACACAGCAGGTCTATCAGATCGTATTCGAGCAGCGCCATAGAACTATAAATTTGACTTATTTATATACACAATCATGGGACTTTTTCATTTGCCGTGTATCGCATATTGTACTTTACATTATACACTGTAAAAAGCATAAATAGTTGTAGGCATACGTAGAAAAACAAACAAAATGTTGTAAATGGAGTTGGAATGTTGCTTTGAAATACAAACATCTAATTATAATAACAGTGATTAGTTTTAGTATTTTTTAATGGCACCCCCGAATGTGTTTCTTTTGAAATCTCGATTTCACAATTCTTTGTCAATTCAAATTCAATTCAAACAACTTAAGCAGACCTAGGGTTATGGACATCCAGTAAGTAATTGGCTTAATTTTTTAATTTTAACTTAGCTAAACTGCTAGTTGGCCAAGCTGTCGGATGTCGCGTTTCAATGCTCGATAAGCGATTTTGCAACTGGCTAAAAGCTTGGCTCGGCTCGGCATGAATCGATCAACTAGCAAAAAGTCTACAATTATTGGCCAATAACTGGCGACTTGTTTTTTTTTATCGCTGGACAAGCCTAGGCAACATAGTAAAAATCTAAGCTCCAAACTGAGGCCAAACAGCTAAAACAAAACGCAAGTTGCTGGAACTAAATTTGTACTCACAATTAATACCCTTGTTGTTGCTCAAACAGTTAACTGAAAGTAATGGCATTAATCTCCAATTGTCTTATTTTGGGTATCATAAACATGATGTTTGTATAACATCTATCCAATATCCAGTATAGTCATACAATTTTTGATCAAATTTAAACTGTTCTTATTTCCTTGCAGAGGGTATTATTAATTTGTCATTAAGCGTGTAACGCATTGAACGAGACTTCTTTGACCCCATAACGTATATATATAATCCTGATAACCAATACAAGGCGAATCGATACAGCCATGTTCATTTATGTGTCTGTCCTCACTTGAAACAACCATTTCTTGAGTAAGTTGAATTCCTTCAGCTTTAAGACCATCTTGATGAAATTTGGCATATATCTGTCACTGAGCAGACACCGGTCGATACTGAGAAAATCGAAACACCCTTTGTTAGGGTATTAATAGACAATAAAAAAAAATTCATAGAGAATGATTATCATTCATTGTTTTTTGATGCCTAAGTGCTTAATAAGGCTAAGGCAACGGTCAAAAGGTGTAAGCGTAAAAGTGCCCCACGAAGACTCAGCGATGATGAAGATGGTGAAGAAGAAGCAAGTGGCAGGTGGCAAATGACTCGTAACTTGTAAGCAAAAATAAATAAGCCAAAAGCTGAAATTTTCCGACTACAACAATACTCTGTTGGCAACGAAAAATATGCGAAATTATGCGTTTTTGAATATGGCATTAGTAAGTCCCAAAAATTGGCGTAAAACTTCGCCGATGACTTAAAACTGTAAGATATGTTATTTTTGCGTTGATATATTCAAAGCATTTGTAAAGAAGCAATCAACTCGTTTACAGATTAACAAACAGTGCATTCAACCAAAGGAAAAAAATGTAAACAAAAATAAAATAAATAAGTAAACTGACGAAAATCTATTGAAAGTGAGCCTCTGGTTGCCAATATCAAATTACACAAGCACCTGCCAACAACAATTTGTAGCTCAGTTGGCCATAAACAACAGCAACAACAACATCGAAATATTGGCTCAAGCTAAAGCCGGCTGTAAGTGGCAAGCTCTTGTTTTTGTTTTTGTTTTTGTTGCTGTTGCTTTTGACTTGCTTCTTGCGACAAGTCAGATTGCAAACGGAACCGAATAACATTCTCTTTCTGGCCAAGAAAGAATGTGTGGCAACTGGGCAATGTGGCTCAGACTGGTCATCGTTGTGGCAAGAGCTGAACGAGTTTCTTGGTTCCGCGGAACCAGCTACTCATTAGCTAAGGAGGGGGCACTCAGCGTGCGGAATAAGGGGCAGCGCATGTTGCGTAGTCTTTTCAAGTGGCAAGCAGCAAGCGGCAAGCGCCAACAGCCAATGTGCAGTGAATGCAACACTGTAACACTGTTACCAACAAAGGAGCGACTCGATTTAGTTGCTGGCATTTGTAGTTGCACCCCCTGCTGCACACCGGCTATCTGTCTGTCAATCCGCCTGCCCCTGCCTGTTTGCCTGTTTTGTTTTTGACTATTAGGCAAGGTGGCGTTGCAAATTGAAATGCTGTTGTTGTCGTTCTTTATTATTTCTGGTTTGTTGCCGTCTGGCTTTTGTCATTGAGTGCGAATTGTCAGTTTGCAAAACTATACTTATTGTCTTGCAATTGACCACACCCCCTCAAAGAAAAACCCCTCAGCGCTCCCTAATATTAGCTCTTAAAGACTCTATTAATAATGATAAATTCTTATTTGCACAATGGCTTGGTGAGTTGCAAGCATGTCAGACTCCAAAACACCCTGTAAGACTAACTTAACTTTCGATATTAAAGAAGCCACATACCAAAGATGATAGCTCAAGTATCTAGGACTATTCTTAGATCATGGAGACAAGCTGTTTGGATGTGATGCTGATGCAGAATATCTTTAATTGACCCTATCAAAGATGCACAATTTTAACATACCCGGTTACATTTAGAGTGTATGGGATATTTGAACAGCAAACAAAACTAAACAAACTTAACACACCAAGTCTGCAAAGCGACACCAATTTGAGGCAGGTCACGCTGCGGCTTTTGGTCAAAAGACTTTTGAGCCAAGTTAGTTGGAAATGCAAATGCTTTGCCCTTTTTAACAGCCACAGACAGTCTCAACAAAAACACCGAATGCAAATCCAAACACATTCAATACCTACTTGCAGCTGTTTAACAGTTGTGGGTGGGGCAAGAGGAAATCGAAACCAAACAGTTTAACACGAATTTGCCTCAGTCTATTTGGGATGCATTGTACTATAACAAAGCTCATAAAATGTGTTTCTATGAAATGTATACAAAAACGAATAGGTTTTGATCTATTGATCTGTCGTATGACGCAAATGACACAGCCTTAAATATAAACAGAATCTGAATACAAAAAAAAAAATAACAAAAATAAATGAGCTGACCTGTGCGGGAAAAACCTATAATAAAAGGGAAAATAGTCTTCCAACGATTTTTGAATTTGTATTATATCATTATCGATAACATTTATAACGTTTTTCTTTTTCAAAAAAAAAGCTTCAATCTTGGGATTAAGGCAAATCGAAATTAAAAGCTGTGAAAAATAATCAAACCAAAATGTTGAACTATTCCAACATAACTTGTTGGTGGCCTTTCGACATCCATTGCAAAACAAATAAAGAAACGCAAATGCATCGGCCAGTGTTGAACAGAACTTTCGAAACACGCCTTTAAATAAAGCTCGAGACAAGCGTCAATACGTGTCGATACGAGCCACAAAGAAAAAGCTTGATGCCGTGGGAAGCAGCCATTCAGCCATTCAGCTCTGAGGGGAGTTGGACCTCATCCAAATTGTCCACTAGACCGGGCAGTCCATCAAGTTGCCCGCTTAAGTCATTGCACGCTGCAGTCAAGTTGCTTGCCTAAGTCTTTTGTTTTTTTTCCCCCATTTTTTTTTCTTTATTTGGTTTTTTTTTTTCATTGTAAACGAAAGTGGCGATTTTTTAAATTGCTCTTCATTGATATATTTAATATGCACATTTGGTAGTTTTCGATAAGTCTTGCATCGACCTTGGCAGCTGTTAACCCATTTTACACCCGTCGCAGTCACAGCTGCAACGATTCGTATCTGGAATTTTAAATAATGACTCAATTGTTGTTGTCATTTGTGATTTGTTTGGTTGTTCACTTGTTGGTGTTGGTGGTGATGTCTATGTCTTGCTTTTCGTCTTCTTTTTTGGCTTTGCGCTTTTAGATATATCACTGTTTGCAAATGCATATAGACTTGATTTTTTTTTGTTTTTTTGTTTTCTGCTATTTGCATGGCATTGACGCTGATAGCAATCAAACATGGAGCTTCTTACAGAAACGCAAAACCATAAACACAGATCGCGTGCCCACTAAGACAATTTACGTCATAATTAGGCATTGTTTTTTATTTAATTTCTGGCTCTAACTAATTAACAAGTCGGCCACGATAATGCGATAATACACGGCTAATGTCGCACACCATATTTAAATTGCACCATTAACCAAAAACAAAAAGACAGCTGAAAAAATTATTTCCAGAGTTTTAATCTTCATAAATTAAATTGTTATTGACTTCCTTGACTAAGCTAATTACATTATTTTTTAATATTTACCTCAAGAAGATTTTTCGAAATTAAATCAACAAATATGCAAAGACAATGTTAAATAGTTGATCAATTTATTGTACATTTGACAACCGAAATTTGATT